CAGTAGAGTGTGCTAAACCTGGGAGAAAGTCAGACCAATGTGACTGGTCTCCCAATTTTCCCGTTTCAGGTTTAGCCCCAGGACAACCCCGGACAGGGACCCCGGGAGTTTGTCATTTAGAGTTCTGACCCTGAGGTGACTCTCCGTTGTGTGTTGGCTCAAGGGAAAAGGCGCCCACTTCTTCTGCTGCTGCCACAGGGGCCTTCGGGCCACGAAACGTGTGAGGTGTGCGTGTGTGTGTGTGTGCGTGTGCCACAAACTGCGCGGTGCCGCCATGCGAACGCAGCCACTGGGGCCGTCGAGGGGTGTGCCGAAGTGGGTGGGGTGTCGCTATGCGAACGCAGCCACTGAAGCCTTCGGTGGAACTCCCCATCGGGTCACGAAACGTGAGAGGCGTGTGCAACATGCTGCGCGGTGCCGCCATGCGAACGCAGCCACTTGGGCCTTCGAGGGGCGTGCCGAAATGGGCGGAGTGCAGCCATGCGAACGCAGCTACTGGTGCCTTCGGTGGAACTCCCTATCGGGCCACGAAACGTGCATGGTGCTCGCCAAAGCTGCACGGTGCCGCCATGCGAACGCAGCCACTGGGGCCTTCGAGAGGTTTACCGAAGTGGGTGGAGTGCCGCCATGCGAACGCAGCCGCGGAGGCCTTCGGTGGAACTTCCTATCGGGCCAAGGAACGCGTGAGAAGCTTACCAAGAGCAGCGCGGTGCCGCCATGGGAATGCAGCCACGTGGGCCTTCGACGGGGCGTGATGCAGTGGGTGGGGGTGTCGCCATGCGAACGCAGCCACTAAGGCCTTCGGTGGAAATCCCAATCGGGCCACGACACGTACGAGGTGTGTGTGTGTGTGTGTGTGTGTCAAAAGCTGCGCGGTGCCGCCATGCGAACGCAGCCGCTGGGGCCGTCGGGGTGTGTGCCGAAGTGGGTTGGGCGCCGCCATGCGAACGCAGCCATTTAGGCCTTCGGTGGAACTCCCATTCTGGCCACGAAACGTGTGAGGTGTGTGTGTGTGTGTGTGTGCCACAAACTGCGCGGTGCCGCCATGCGAACGCAGCCACTGGGGCATTCGAGGGGTGTGCCGAAGTGGGCGGGGTGTCGCTATGCGACCGCAACCACTGAAGCCTTCGGTGGAACCCCCTATCGGGCCACGAAACGTGAGGTGTGTGTGTGTGTGTGTGCGCCAAAAGCTGCGCGGTGCCGCCGGACGAACGCAGCCACTGGGGCCTTCGAGGAGTGTGCCGAAGTGGGTGGGATGCCGCCATGCGAACGCAGACACTGAGGCCTTCGGTGGAACACCTCATCGGGCCACGGAACGTGTGAGGTGTGTGTGTGTGTGTGCGTGTGCGCCAAAAGCTGCGCGGTGCCGCCGTGCGAACGCAGCCACTAGGGCGTTTCGAGGGGTGTGCCGAAGTGGGTGGAGTGCCGCCATGCGAACGCAACCACTGAAGCCTTCGGTGGAACACCCCATCGGGTCACAAACCGTGTGAGATGTGTGTGTGTGTGTGTGTGTGCGTGTGTGTGTGTGTGTGTGTGTGTGTGTGTGTGTGTGTGTGTGTGTGTGTGTGTGTGTGTGTGTGTGTGTGTGTGTGTGTGTGTGTGTGTGTGTGTGTGTGTGTGTGTGTGTGTGTGTGTGTGTGTGTGTGCGCCAAAAGCTGCGCGGTGCCGCCATGCGAACGCAGCCACTTGGGCCTTCGAGGGGTGTGCCGAAGTGGGCGGGGTGCCGCCATGCGAGCGCAGCTGTTGAGGCCTTCGGTGGAACTCTCTATCGGGCCACGGAACGTTAGAGGTGTGTGTGTGTGTGCGTGTGCGCGCGCCAGAAGCTGCGCGGTGTCGCCATGCGAGCGCAGCCGCTGGGGCCTTCGAAGGGTATGACCGAATGGGCGGGTGTCGCCATGCGAACGCAGCCACTGAAGGCCGTCGGTGGAACTCCATATCGGGCCACTGGGCGTGTGAAGTATGCGCCAAAAGCAGCGCGGTGCCGCCATGCGAACGCAGCATCTGGGGCCTTCGAGGGGTGTGCCGAAGTGGGCGGGGTGCCGCCGTGCGAACGCAGCCACTGAGGCCTTCGGTAAGGTGTATGCCAAAGCTGCGCGGTGCCGCCATGCGAACGCAGCCACTGGAACCCTCGAGGGGTGTGCTGCAGTGGGCGGGTGGAGTGTCGCGAAGCGAACGCAGCCATTTAGGCCTTCGGTGGGACCCCCTATCGGACCACGAAACGTGTGAGGCGTTTGCCAAAAGCTGCGCGGTGCCGCCATGCGAACGCAGCCGCTGGGGCCTTCAAAGGGTGTGCCGAAGTGGGCGGAATGTCGCCATGCGAACGCAGCCACTGAGGCCTTCGGTGACACTCCATATCGGGCCACACAATGTGTGAGGTGTGTGCCAAAAGCTGCGCGGTGCCGCCATGCGAATGCAGTCGCTGGGGCCTTCAAAGGGTGTGCCGAAGTGGGTGGAATGACGCCATGCGAACGCAGCCACTGAGGCCTTCGATGAAGCTCCCTATCGGGCCACGAAGCGTGTGAGGTGTGTGCCAAAAATTGCGCGGTGCCGCCATGCGAACGCAGCCGCTTGGGCCTTCGACACGGCCACCTACGGAGCCACGGAGCGTGTAAGGGTTGTGCCGACATGGTTGCGGTGGCGCCGTGCGAACGCAACCACTGAGGCCTTACGTCTTCTAGGACCACCAGGCGTGTGAGGGATGTATGCCCAAATTGGTGCGTTGCCGCCATGCGAACGCAACCACTGGGGCCGTCGGTGGAGATCCATATGGGTACACGGGGCGTGTGAGGGGTATGCCGCAACGGGCGCGATGCCGCCATGCGAACACAACCACTGTGGCCTTCGTCGGAGCTCCCTATGGGGCCACATAATGGTTTGAATGGTGTGCCGCAATGGATGCGAAACCGCCACGCGAACGCAACCACTGGGCCCTTCCGTGGAGCGTCTTCTGTGACCGCCAAGCGTGTGAGGGGTGTGCGGGCATGGGTGCGGCGCCGCCATGCGAACGCAGCCGCTGGTGCCGTCGGTGGAGCTCCCTGTGGGGCCACGAAGAGTGTGAGGGGTGTGCCGACACTGGCGCGGTGCTACCATGCGAGCGCAGCCACTAGGGTTGGAGCTCCCGATAGGGGGGCACGAAGCGCGCGAAGGATATGCCAAAATGGGTGCGGTGCCTCCATGCGAATGCAGCCACTGGGGCCTTCGGTGGAGCTCCATATGGGCATGCGGCCCAAGAGAGTCTCAATAGGGCGTAAGTTGTGCCTCAAGACGGCCCACGGGGGCCCCAAGACACTCCTAAGACTGCCTCACAGGAGGCCACTGCAGCCGCAAGACGGCCCTTGAATTGTCGAATGCTGGTTTTATTCTCCCTTTTTCGGGCTTCCGTCAGCTCAAGGCGGCCCAAAACGCCTACACAATGGCATCAAGACAGCACAAGAGGCCCCCCTAAGAGGGTCTCAAAATGGCCCAAGAGATTCAATGATCGCCCAAGAAGCACCCTCGGCGGTGCCAAGACGGCCTCCAGACTGTCTTAGGAACCATGCCAACGGCCCAAAACTGCTACACGACTGCCCCCACGCATTCACCGTACGGCCAAGAGGGCCCCCAAACGGCCCCCAAGACAGAATGCGCGGCCCGGAAGACTGGCCACGAAGGCCCCAAGAGACCCCCCATGACTGCCCCACCGCAGGCCTAGACAGCCCCAGGACGCCCCAATCGAGTTCCATTAAAGCTCCTCAACTGGTATAGATGAGATGTGCCACATGTGATGGTCTTCCTCTTCCTCCTCCTCCTCCTCCTCCTCCTCCTCCTCGCCCTCCTCCTAATTACGAACCATCATCAGCATCATCATCATCACCCTCATCACCATCACCATCGCCATCCTCATCATCATCAGCAGCAGCAACAGCATCACCATCATCATCCTCGTCGTCATCATCATCAACCAAAGCATCTCATCATCATCATCATCGTCACCGTCAACAACAGCAGCATCACCATCATCACCATCATCATCGTCATCATCATCATCATCATCAGCATCCGCATCATCAGCATCATCGTCGTCACCATCATCGCCATCATCATCATACTCATCATCATCACCACCACCACTACCATCATCATCATCGTCATCATCATCAGCAGCATCATCAACATTCACATCATTATCAGCAGCACTATCATCCTCATCGTTATAATCATCCTCACCCTGCACCTCCTTCTCCTCCTCCTCCTCGTCATTATCATCATCATCAGCAGCAGCATCAGCAGCAGTATCAGCATCAGCATCAGCAGCAGCATCAGCAGCAGTATCAGCATCAGCATCAGCATCAGCATCATCATCATCATCATCATCATCATCATCATCATCATCATCATCATCATCATCATCATCATCATCATCATCATCATTTTGATTATCACCATCACCATCACAATCACCGCCATCACCATCGCCGTCGCCATCGCCATTTCCATCACCATCACCATCGCAATCGCAATCGTAATCGGAATCGCCATCACCACTATCATCACCATCAACAGCATCAGCATCAACAGCATCAGCATCAGCATCATCATCATCATCATCATCATCATCATCATCAACAACAACATCAACATCAACATCAACATGAGCATCATATCGCAATCATCATCACCAGCATCCTCATCCTCATCCTCATCCTCATCTTCCTCCGCCTCCTCCTCCTCAGCGGCAGCAGCATCATCAGTCATCAGTCATCATCCTCCTCCTCCTTTCCTCCTCCACCTCCTCCTCCTCCTCCTCCCTCCTCCCTCCTCCCTCCGCCCTCACTGTCTCCCTCCTCCCTCCTCCACCATCGCCTATCCTCGCCTCATCCCTCTCCTCCTCCCAATCCCTCCGCCATCCTCCCCCTCCTCCCTCTCCTCCTTCTCCCCCTCCTCCTACCCCCCCTCCCTCTTTCTCCTGCCTCTCCTCCTTCTCCTCCCCTCTCGCGACACGAGACAAAAGAACGTCGCTCCTGCGGGACGCGCTGAACGGTGGAGCGGATCGTGGCCCGCTGCCGCGACTGGCACTTCGGGCACTCCCACGCATCCTCCTGCGCTGGGGCGAGGGGCCGGCGAGAGGAGCTCCGGGCTCCGAGAGCAGGGGCCCCTGGGCCGAGCTCACCCCGGGGGGCCTGGGGGGGCCCGAGACGGTGCGGGGAGAGACCGTGCAGGTGGCCTCGGGATCCCCGAAGACGCACGCGCGGTCCGTCACTGCACGGCTCTGGGACCTCGAACCTCGAGCCTCGATCCTCGAGCCTCGATCCTCGATCCCCGAGCCGCGATCCTCGATCCCCGATCCTCTGGGCCCTGGCCTCTGCGAACAGCGCGCGCAGCGCCTTCTCTGCGCGCGGCGGCGTGCGAGCCTTCGCGGCACGCACCTCGGCCGCGGGCCCACGCGCCTCGGCCGAGGGCCCAGCCGCCCGGGACGTCCTCGGAGCACGGCCCGAGTCCCCGAGACGTCGAGAAGGCCGCCTGCCTCCTGGTGCGACTTTTTTTTTGTCTCCCGGGGGCGGGAGCTCCAGGGCCCACAAGGTGCACTGGTCGTGCACCTCTTTGGGCCTACGGCGGCAACAGAAGGGCCATCGTGGGCCCGGCCCGGCCCCGTTCCTGCAGTGCTCGGCTGCGCCCCGTCGATTGCCCCCCGCTACCGTTCGTCCGAGGGGAGAGGGGCTGCGAGAAGCTTCCGGGCTCCTGTCTGCTTTCGGAGGCGGGAGCGAGGCTCTCCGGGGCAGGCGCCTCGCAGGCGCAGTTCCAGGGCGGCAGCTGGGCCCCGAAACGTGGAACTGCTTCAGGAGGAAGAGGAGGAGGAGGAGGAGGAGGAGGAGGAGGAGGAGGAAAAGGAGGAGGAGGAGGAGGAGGAGGAGGAGGAGGAGGAGGAGGAAGAGGAGACGAGGGAGGAGGAGGAGTAGGAGGAGGAGGGGAAGGATGATGATGAGGAGGAGGAGGAGGAGGAGAGGAAGGAGAGGGAGAGGGAGGATGACGATGAGGAGGTATGAGTAGGAGGAGGGGGAGGCGGGAGGGAGAGAAGGAGGAGGAAGGCGAGGAGGAGGAGGAGGAGGAGGAGGAGGAGGAGGAGGAGGAGGAGGAGGAGGGGGAGGAGGGGTAGGAAGGTCTCCTGCTCGGTGCACCCTGCGCTCAGACCCCCGGCCCCCCGTCCTCAACATCGCCGCCCCCCCATGGAGCGCGTTCCGGACCTGCCCTGGAGCGCCTTCTGACCAGCATCTTGAAGCGGATCCAGCCGCTGCGAAGGGCCCAACCATCTGCAGTTGTGAGTACCGCTTTCTGGGTACCAACTTCGGTGAAGCTCCCTATAAGGCCACGGTGTGCCGGAATGGACGCGGTGCCGCCATGCGAACGCAGCCACTGGAGCCTTCGGTGGAGCTCCCCATGGGGCCACGATCCTCGTGAAGGGTATGCCGAAATGGGCGCGATGCCACCATGCAAACTGTGCCACTGGGGCCTGCGGTGGAGCTCCCGACTGGGGAGCCCACAAAGGACGTACGCGCCCAGCTATGTACATGAATGCGGCCCCTCGATCCGCGAGACTGGCCGCGTGATACGAACATTCGGGCAATGCGTACTCTCGAAACCGGCGTGGATGCATGTACGTGTACGTCCTTCTTTCGCTCCTGACCTACGGGGCCACTATCCTCGTGAGCGGTGTGCCGAGATGGGCGTGGTGCCGCCATGCGAACGCAACCACTGCGGCCTTCGGTGGAGCCCCCTCTTCGGCCACGAGTCGGTCGAAGGGTGTGCCGACATGGGTGCGGTGTCGCCGTGCGTGCGTAACCGCTGGGGCCTTCGGTGACGCTCCCTATGGGGCCACGGTCCTCGTGAGGGGTGTGCCGACATGGGTGCGGTGCCGCCATGCGAACGCAGCCACTGGGGTCTTCGGGGGGGCTGCCCAGGCGGCCGCGATCCTTGTGAGGAGTGTGCCGACATGGGTGCGGTGCCGCCATGCGAACGCAGCCGGTGGGGCCTTCGGTGGAACTACATATTGGGCCACGAAACGTGTGAGGGGTGTGCCGACATGACTGCGGTGCCGACGTGCGAACGCAGCCAACGGGGGCCTTCGGTAGAGCTGCCAATGGGGATACGAAGCATGTGATGGGCGAGCGGGAATGCGAAGGGCTGAGGCAAGGATGGGAGGGAGGACAACGGGAGGGAAGGAAGGTATGAGACGTGGTACGCTCTCTTCAAAACGACGACCCAGCACCACATGATGGTTGGGAGCAAGTCCATCCCACCTCCTCCAATGTCCTCCAGAAACTGGGCCCCAGGAGCAGAGGTTGCAGACATCTCCGCCACACCGTTCGGTGGGGGCACCTTGCGCTCAGAGTTCGGCGGATGAAGAGGGGGACCGGTAAGAGAACGAGAACGAGAATAAGAAACATCTGGAGAAAGAGGAAATGGATATGCGAATAGTATGGGAGTGCGGGGGGAGAATAAAAGGAGGACGGGAAGGGAAAGTTCGCAGGATGAGGAGAGGGGGGAAAAGGGGGGAGGAGAATGATGTCAGGAGAAACGGGTGGGGAGGAAGAGTAGGAAGATAACGGGGAGAAGAAAAACGAGTAGACAACGCAGATGAAGATGAGAGGAAGCAGGCGGAGGATAATGGGAGGATGATTATTACGGTGATGACTTTGATGATGCTGATGATGATGCTGCTGATGGTGATGATGAAACGGATGATGATGCGGATGATGGTGGTGGTGATGATGAAGATGATGAGGATGATGAGGATGAGGATGAGGCGGATGGTGATAGTGGTGATGATGGCGATGTTCATGGTGATGATGATGATGATGATGATGGTGATGATGATGGTATTCATGATGGCGATGGCGATGGCCATGGCGATGTTAATGGTAATGGTGATGATGATGTTGGTGGTGGTGATGGCGATGACGATGCTGATGAGGATGATGATGATGCCACTGATGCTGCTGATGGTGATGATGATGGTGATGATGGTGGTGGTGATGATGAAAACGAGGAGGATGAGGAGGAGGATGAGGATGAGGATGAGGATGAGGATGAGGATGATGATGATGATGATGATGATGAGGAGGAGGAGGAGGAGGAGGAGGAGGGGGAGGAGGAGCATGACGAGGAGGATGGTGAGGAGATGAGGGCATGAGGGAGGGGAGTGAGGAGCAATAGAAATCCGCCGCGTCCCGCCGGCCACCCGGAAGACCCGGTTGCCAACGGTTTTCCTGCCCCAGACGGCCCCAAGATGGCCTCCAAGACGGCCAAGATGCCTCCAACACGGCCAAGATGGCCTCCAAGACGGCTCAGATGGCCCCAAGATGCCGCCAAGACGGCCCAAGATGTACCCTAGACGGCCTAAGATAGCCTGAAGACGGCCCAAGACGGCCCACGAGACCTCCAAGAGGCCTCCAAGACGGCCCGAGAGGCCTCCAAGAGGTCCTCCAAGAAGGCCTGCAGAGGTCAAAATCATTGATTTTCCGCAGGTTTTTGCAGGATTTTGGTATTTGCGCCTTTTCGGCTTTCCGACGGCCTCAGACGGCCCAAGAGACCCCCAAGATCGCCCCAAGATCGCCCAAGAGGCCTCCAAGATGGCCCCGTGACGGCCCCAGAGGCTCCCAAGACGGCCCCAAGAGGGCCCCAAGACGGCCCAAGGGGCCTCCAAGACGGCCCAAGATGGCCTCCAAGTCGGCCCTGGAGCACCCCAAGAGGGCCCCAAATCGGCTCAGAAAGGCTCCCGAAACGGCTTCCGACGGCGTCAGACGGGCCAGGAGCCCACCAAGATGGGCGAAGGTGGCTCGCAGCTGGCCCAAGACGGTCCAAGAGGCCTCCAAGAGGGCCTCCAGGAAGGCCCGAAAAGTCCGAAAAGAGAAATTGTCCGTTGGTTTTTGAAGGATGTTGACATTTGCTTCGTTTCGGCCTTCCTCCTCCTCCTCCTCCTCCTCCTCCTCCTCCTCCTCCTCCTCCTCCTCCTCCTCCTCCTCCTCCTCCTCCCCTCCTCTTCCCAGGGGGAGTCAGTTGGTGTAGGGGGATGGGGGACAGCGTCCTCGCTCAGAGTCCTCGCCCCGAGCGTCGCGTCAAGGCAGGCGTCCAGGGTAACTCTCCTGCTCTCCTCGCGGCGGGCCTCCTGGGCGGGACCGCGCGGGGGGGGTGGTCGCGGCCCCAGGAACGGAGCTGGGGAAGGAGCAGCCCTCCTCCTTTCTCCCTCCTCCTTCCTCCCTCCTCCTTCCTCCCTGCTCCTCCTCACCCATCCTGCATGCCCCTCGTGCTCCCCCTCCGTCTTCCCGTCTTGCTCAGGCCGGCTCACGGCTGGGTGCCCCTTCTCGCTCTGGGAGGGGGCAGTCGGAACAAGAGCTGCACTCCCTGGGCTCTCGGTGCTCGAGCTTTCAGCAACACGGCGCGCAGACTGCTGCTATGCCGAGTCCGCCCGATCGCCTTGTCCTGCTGCTCCCTCCTCTACCATGAGGAGGAGGAGGAGGAGGAGGAGGAGGAGGAGGAGGAGGAGGAGGAGGAGGAGGAGGAGGAGGAGGAGGAGGAGGAGGAGGAGGACGGAGGAGGGACGATGGAGGATGGAGGAGGGAGGAGGAGAAGGAGGAGGAGGAGGAGGAGGAGGAGGAGGAGGAGATGGAGGATGAGAAGGAGGAGGAGGAGGACGAGGAGGAGGAGGAGGAGGAGGAGGAGGAGGACGGGTCGCCTAAGGCCTTCGGAGAAACCCTCCAACGTGCCGAAACGACTCGTGCTTCGGTTTCTGACATCGTGTGGATCGTTCACCCTCGACTGATCGTGGCCTTCCGTCAGCACGGGTCGATCGTCAACCTTCGATTCTGGGCAACTGGCGGCGTTCAACCTTGAACGCCCGCGCTGGGGTCGCCGCCGCGTCAGCGCGGCGCGGACCTGCCGTAACTCCTCCGAGTCTACCTCCTCCCACGGGCTCATGGCGAATGAGGGTGCCTCAGAGGAGCACCTCATTACGTCTCCTCGGCGACTGCGCGCGCGCGGCGACGCCGCGTTGAAGTACGGCGGGTGCGGAACGGCACTGAAACCGGAGCGGCAGCATTGGCAGGAGCGGCAGCCGACGGAACGTGCCAGCGGCACAGCACGAGCCGAGGATCACCAACGTGTGGGCCATGGGTGCTCCTCAGGGCATCCGGGGAGGCCCGAGCTGCTCAAGGGGCGGCAGCGTTCCCGATGAGGGGCATCACGACTCCCGAAGTGCGACGGCGTCCGAGGGGGGAGGGGCCGAGTCCTTCTGGCTGCTCGCAGCCAGCGGAGGGCGAGGTGCAGCAAAAATCTTGTCCGCCGCGGGGACGCCTGTCCCAGGGCAGCTGGAAAGCCTCGCCCCCCACTCGCCACCGCTGGGGCACAAACTTCCCCGCCCCTCCGAGGCCTTCTTCCCCGACGGCGGAAAACATATTCTACACAGGGCAGTTTTTCATACATGGGGTTAAAAAAAGTATCGGATTTCTATTACATGATCAATGTATGAATAAATGTATGCATGAACTCATCGTTGTTTTTAATACTAAATCCCTGCATTTTTGGTACATGATCCGCACGCGGAGCATGTATAAAAAACGGCACTGTGCCTTTCTTCGTGCACCAACGCCCACGAAATTTCGACGCGGCCACCGTCGGCGACGGTGGCCGCACGAACCGAACCTGAGAGGCGCGCCGGCACGCCGCCCCTGCCGGTGCCGCTGCCCCTCAGGGCCAGGTGCTGGCGCAGCGGGGAGGGCTATGCGCACGCTGGCAAAGACACAAAGGAGGATCCTCCTCCTCCTCCTCCTCCTCCTCCTCCTCCTCCTCCTCCTCCTCCTCCTCCTCCGACGACGACGACGACGACGACGACGACGACACCTCCTCCTCCTCCTCCTCCTCCTCCTCCTCCTCCTCCTCCTCCCGACGACGACGACGACGACGACGAAGACGATAACGGCGGTGGTGGCGACGACGGCGGCGACGACGACGGACGACTGACCGACCGACCGACTGACGGCGGCGGCGGCGGCGACGACGGACGACCGACCGACGACAGCGCACAGCGACGGACGACGACGATAAACAGCGGCGGCGACGGACGACCGACCGACCGTCGACCGACCAGCCGTCGACCGACCGACCGACCGTCGCCCGACCGACGACGGCGGACGACGGACGGCGGCTTCCGGCTGCGGCGGCGAACGCCAGCGAGGCCTCCACGCTGGCGTGCAGCTCTGGCGCGGGGGCGCCCAGCAGGGCAGCGGGCAGGGCCTGCCGCGCTCGGGTGGGGGGCCCATCGCGCGCGACAGGGCGACGACCGCGGCCGGTAACTTTCTTTTAGCGTGTCGCGGCGGCGGCCTCGGCGACACGCCGTGCCCTGCGGGTGGAGAGCGTGTCGGCTGGCTCTGCGGGGCGGGAGGCCGGGAGGAGCTCGAGACGCAGACGCTTGGGGACTGCGACGCCGGGGCGTCGTGGGCCAGAACCGGCGGAGCGAGGCGCTGGCAAAAAGCTTCCTTCTTCGACGCGGAGAGCGCGCCACTTCCTGACCCTGTCCACTGAGAGATCGGGAAGAAGGCTGCCTTGCGCGAGCGGGCGCGGCGGCCGTGCGCGGTGGTCTGCGCAGCCCGTCGGGTTGGCCTTCCTCTCGCCTGATTCCTGCTCCTGCTCCCCCCACCCGGCCGAAGGGGAAGGGGGGAAGGGGGAGGTGAGAGGGGGAGGAGGAGGAGGAGGAGGAGGAGGAGGAGGAGGAGGAGG